GAACTTGTTATTTTTCTATGTTTCTCATAAAGTATGCACTTCAATAGGTTTGCAAAGCATGAAGGTCCAAAAATAACCTGTTATTTTTTTTTCCACAGAAAATCTAAAATTAGCAAGTTCTTATTTCCAACCTAGGAGAGTTCTCCTCTCCATAAAGTCATCTATCAATTTTTAAATAAGCAGATAAGGGCATAAATATGCACACATCTAATAAAATGTTCCAATAAAAATGTTAAGAAAATATAGGTGTTAATTTGCATTCTAGTGGGAAATAATTTTACTCTTATATTTTTCCACAGAAATTGATATTTCAGAAACATGTAGAGTTTCTTTCTTTCACTTTCATCAAATAATGCCAACCAACCAGATCCATGAATCTTTGATATATTTTTTTTTTCTAAAACTGAAAGCAGAAACTTTACTGTGGAGAATCCAGATTTTTGAAACTCTTTGAGGCACAGGTCCTATTAATGGCAATTATTTACTCTTGAGAGCTTAGTAGATGGCTTATTGGGCTATTAGTAGATAAACTATTGTCTTCATTTTTTGCATAATATGAATGTTATTGTTCATTTTATAATTAATATAATACTTGGAAGAGAATTTTAGACAAAGTATAATTGTTTTAAATAAAATTTCTTAAGTCTGTGAACACAGCAATCATATAGTTCTTTTAGAATTCAGCTGCTGGATAAAGTTTTTCTTTGTTGAAAAACAGATGTGCTTCCTCTTTTCTGGTTACAAGAATTAGAAAACACTATGTTTCTCTTTCTGACTTGGCTGCCAGGAAGCTCTGGGCTAAACTAAGGTCCCATTAACAGTAAATGCTTTCCTGGTGTTTAAATTCATGGTTGTTTATTTCTAGTTACTTATGCCAATGTATTTAAATTCTATATATATGGAAAGAAGTAGGGAGTTCGTTGGTTTCAAAAAGGATTTCATTTCAAACCATTTATTGTACACCCAGTACGTGTCAGGCCATACTCTAGAGGATGGGCATGCAGTTAGTTAAAAGGTTTCTTCCATGAGAGAAGTGAATATATCCTTACTAACTCTATCCTTAAAGAGGAAAAAAATATCTCGCAGTCAAACCAACTTCAAGAAAACAGAAATTTAAAAGAATTTCCTTGAAAGAAAAGCCTGCCCAACATCAATTTAGCCCTCACAAAGAAGAAGTTGATAAGAGTGGGTGAAGTTATCTTTTGACTGTTGCTTACAGGGATATGGAAAACTAGTTACCTAATTATACAACCTTCTCAAGGGTCTAGCAATAAAACCAGCCTCTATTCCTGGGCATGTTCTAAGAACTAATAACACCATTCCTGAAATAAAAGCTTTTAAATAAATTGCCTGTTAATAACAAATCAATTTAAACATTCTAACTTCTAAGAAAGGGGGCTTTGGGTATAAGATTTCCTACCTCAGAGTTTTTGATGTAACAAATAAGTAAGTAGCACCACTTGGGACAAGCCAAGAAATATGATGTACTTTATGTGGCTAGGCAAAAATAATTGTTAGCTAGTAAAGCATTTCCCTTTTATCAATGACTTCAAGGTTGGTGGGCCTAAATTGGCACTTGCTTTCAGCTTTGTTTTACTTTAGTGCCTTCCTAACATGTGTTCTGTCTTACATGACCCTCGGTTGGCCTGCCTTCTGCCAGCCTGATGTTGAGAAAGGTATTAAAATTTACAAGGATCTTGCCCTTGGCCTCCACTCTCAGGGGGCAGCCTTTTCACACACTTTAAAGCATTGCCAGCTCACAATAGCCCTGTAGTCAGGGAGGGCAGCCCAACAAAGCTGCCCACAGATGCACGTGCTGGTCACCTGCCCCAGCAATTGCAAATAGACTACCACTTCTCAGCAACCTGTTTATCTTCCCCTTGCAAGAGAAAGCTGTGTAAATAATTCTAATACATATTTCAGATAGGGCAAAAAATTAGACTGCTCAATTTGAACTCTGTGCACTTAGGTTTCTCAGACTAACATAAAAGTCTTTACATAACAGAACTGCCTGCAATCTCACTGAGAACTAAATTAAACATTTTTTTAAATGGTGCCATGCCTTGGTGACTTAAGAGAAGCCAAACATTGGAATGGCAGATACTTTCTAAGCAATTGTAAGGAGCACCTCAAAGGATTCAAAGAAGTCACAAATAGCAAAACATGTGACAAGTGATTTTGAAACATTAGAGTGCTCTAACGAACAAAAAAGCAGACCAAGAAGATTTTTTTTTTAATTCCCAGGTTCCTTTCCAAAATACTGCCAGGAGAATTTCAGAATTACAGCAAAGCAATCACTTCATTAATTTGTGCAAGAAAACTCAAATTTTGTGGGACAAGATAAAACTAGGTCAATACCACCAAACTTTTTAATACAAGTACAAAAATTGTAATTTAAACAGCTGTAAAATTAAATGGGTGGGAGAAGAACTGGGGAAGGGGATCAGGGCCATTGAGTCTGAGGTTTCCAGATCTTGGCTTTCGATATCTCACTCTCATGTCTTTAAGTGAGCTAAATCACATAAGCACAAAACATGAGCTAGATGACCAATTTCGGGAAGACGGCAGATTCTCCCCTCCTCCATTCCCTTTAGATCCGTCGCTCTGGGCTTTCTCTCCTAATGGCATTTCGTTTCTAGGAAAGTCCTTCATATCTTTGGGTCTCATTATCTCATTGTACAAATCTCTGAAAAGGAAAGAACCGCGGTTTGCTCTGCAATCGGACATCTTTTCTTCTGCCCCGGCTCTTAGTAAGCCTTCAACCAACTTTCGCTGAAAAGCATGTAGCGGAGGGGCGTTGAGGCTTGAAATCCCGCCGCTCTCTCATTCTCTTTTCTTTCTCTCCGCACTGGCCACCCCTCCAGCCCCCTCCAGCCCCCGACAATCCACAACCGTTCCTAAGCAAACTGGGGCGTTTTAAAGAGTTTCCTCCTTCTGTTTCCTCCTCTGACCTGAGAGTCACTTTCAGTGGAAGACAGATCAGGCAAGACGCCTAACCAGGAGATAGTCAAATAGGATACTTGAGGGAAATAAAAGACCTGATTGAAAAATCCCATGCTTCCAAATTACTATTAAGTATTTTGCATATAAGTGAGCATATAATGCTTATGACAGTGTTAAAAACACCGAGGTCTTTTGTCTTAAGCATTCTTGTTTATTTAAAAGACTTATACAGCGCTTACCATGTGCCAGCGGTTTTCCAAAAGGTTTTAATATGACTCTCTTTGTAAAAAAAAAAAAAAAAAAAAAAATAATAATAATAATAATAATAATAATCGACATTAAATCCGCGTGTGCTTTTCCGTGCTGTATTTTTCTTTATAACACGTTAGAACAGTTAAGTCTTCAAAGGCAAATATGGAAAAACTATATATAAGTAGTTGCTACTTTATTGCAAGCCAACCATTTTCCTCTTTGCAATGTTTCACATTTATAGTAATCAAATGCACTAATATAGTGAGAATGAACTCTATTTTTTTTCAGTGACAATCTCAGGTTTTGCCTCTGGCGTTTAGAAGCGCGGGATTACTTGCTCTCGTGGCAAACGTTAATTGCACCTGTAGGCATTTGTTTTTAGAAAGACGTGCAGCCCTCTCTGAAAGTTGTGAAGGTTGAGTTCGCGCCAGGCCTGCTGCTAGCGCGTTCACCTGTGGCCTGAGCGGACAGGTCATTGGCACATCCTCCTTGGATGCGGGGCGGACAACACGCCCGTCGGGCTCAGCCCCGCAGGCCTGCGGGCATCTGGAGCTGAGTGGCGTAGGGGAGGTCCGAGAGCCCGAGGGATGCGGGCGGGCTCAGCTGCGTTCGGCGTGCCCAGCTACTCAGCCACTGCAGACCAGCACAGGCCCAGAGACCCGCGCGGACTGGGCTCCCGCCCTGAGGCCGATGGCCGAATTGGGCGGGGGGGGGGGGTCATCGCCCCCCACCCCCGCGTCCCGGGCGTCCTGAGCTGACCTGGTCCAGCCCACCAGGGCCCGCTCGGCCCCCGCCGACTGTGTGCTTTGCCTGGGGTTAAGTTTCAGAAGTCAGGATGAAACGTTTTGGATTTCTGTTCACACGGTTATTGCAGGCACCGCGGTGGGGACCGCACAAAAGAAACGAGGGCGTGTGGGGAAGGGGTTTTGTGTTTTAATGAGGGCTTAACACGCTGGCTGCACGTCCTTCCCGCTCTCCCCCGCCCAACCCCCGCCCGGGCCCAGTCTTTTCCCGTCTCATCCTTTCCTCTCCTCCTCCCCGCCCCGCGCCGGTCTTCTGTGGGGACAGAATGGAGTGTCAAAGGGACGCCCTAATCAGATCCCTAGAAAATCAGGAATCCGTCCGTGGCGGAGGGTTGTGATGAATGACAGACGCCCCTTTCTCAGAGCCGTTTCTCCACTAAGCACGGAGCTGTCCCGGAGCAAGGAGCCTCCGGCTCGCCCGCGACCAACCCGCCGCCCGCCTCCCGGTACCGCGGCGCCGGGGCGGGCGAGCCGACGCCGCCTCTCGCCCTGGGTCTGCCCAGCTCCTAACCCTCGCCGAGGCACGTCGGCGTAGCCTCTCCAAGCCCCGCAACACAGGGGAAGAGCCGCTTAAAAACATGTTTTCCAAACACTTCTGTCGTTTTTACAACCCACGTTGTCTAATGCACTAAACACAGGACACGAATTCGTCCTTTAGAAAACAAACTGATTTTCCAAGCGCGGTTTTTTCACGTTCGGGATTCTAATGAACTCTGCCGCTGCGACGGCACACACCAAGGGGAGCGGAGAACTGCCATCATCCGGATAATCCAAGCCCGAAAACCTCGAAGTTGAAAAACTACTAAAAGTGTGTCCTGAAATACCTGCACCATTGCTCTAGTCTTTCCCGCCGCCGGAGGAGACACAACTCCGGCTCACGGTCTACTCAGCGGAGTCTACTACCCAAGGCCCCGGTGGCCAAATGGAAATAACTGATGTAGAGCAAAGCGAACGTCACATGGTAGCCGACCTCAGACCCTCCGACAGCCAGCGGTTAAGTACCTGGTCGGGGAAACTCACGTCCTTATCTGTCCACAGCCCAGAGGCCGCGGAAGCAGCCTCGGGAGTTGCCAGGGAGAAAAGCAACTTTCATTTAAGGTTTTCTAAAACCCCAGAGGGCAAATGTGACCGTCAGGGTCAGCCAGTCAGCAGTTTTGGTCCAGACGAGGGACGGCCGAGTGGGGCGGTTCGGTTAAGCCACGGCGCCTCCCAACGTCACTACACGCTCGCTCACACTCAGCCACGCGCTTGGAGTTATTCTTTAAACACAAGACAGAAACTTCACCGTCAGACTGTGGGGGGGGGGGGTGAGGAGGAGGGCCGAAACCCGAGGTCCGGAGCCCGCCCCTCAGCGGCCTTCTCTCGCCGCGCTCGCGCCCACGTCCGCGTGCTGCCCTAGCGGGAGCTATCAACCTCACGCTCAGGCTCGCCGCTGCCTCTCCCGCCCGCGCGCAGCTCCCGGACCCCAGGTGCGCGGCCGCGTTCCCACGCCTCTGCAGAAGCCTCCGCCGCGAGCATTGGCGAGCGCGGCCCCGCCCCTCCGCCCCAACCAATCGCGGGCCACGCCGACCCCGAGGAGGCGGAACGCGGCGGGGCGGCCGGGGCCTGCGCGCCGGAGGCGGGCGAGGTGGCCCCGCCCGCGTGGAGGGGCGTGGCCGGCGCCGGTTCTTGCGGCCGAGCTCGGCTGCGGCGTGGGAAAGAGCCGCGAGGAGCCGACCGCGCCGCCGCGGGAGCCGCGCCTGCCCGGGCCCAGAGAGGGAGGGAGGAAGGGAGGAGGCAGGCAAGGAGGGCGCTGCGCCCCGCTCGGCGTCGGTGGCTCGGGCTGGGCTGTGCCCAGCGCCGTCTTCGCCGCGATGAAGCGCCCTTGCGAGGAGACGACCTCCGAGAGCGACATGGACGAGACCATCGACGTGGGGAGCGAGAACAATTACTCGGGGTGAGCGCGGGCTCGACGGGAACTGCCCGGAGCCCGAGGCGTCGGGGAGCTTTGTGCGCGAGCGGCTCCCTGGAAATCCCAAGGCTCCTCTCCGCGGCGTCCTAACATAGCGGGGAAAGTTTTGCCCGGGAAATTTTGAGCGGTGGGCGCTCACGGAGCGTGCGTTGGGGTGGGGCGGGGGATGTCGGCTTTCACACCAGGGGTGGGGCGGAGAGGAAAGGGGAAGCGACTGAAAGACTGCGCAGGAGTTGGCGAGGGAGGGTCCCAGGCTGTCAGCGTTAGGCAAGCGGACCGGCTGGCGAAGGGCGACGCCCCCGCCTCTGAAACTGTGGGAGCACTTTAAGGATGGGCCAGGTGAAAAGCAAAACAGATTGAATTTTTTTTTTTTAATTTTTCAAGAGCCTAAAATGATGACTTGCCTTTTGGAGACATTAAAGTAGTTTGCGATGTTAAGGCTAAGGAGGTTAAGCTTTCCGTTGGCCGTGTGTGAGTGGGTTTACGGGAGAGTGAGTGACGGATCGTTTGGGGCGTAGATCATCTCTTCGACTGCTTGCTGTTAAGTCTGGAAAAGATCGGAGTCGTGATCACAGAAGCCAGACCTCCACTTTCCAGTGACAGAGGGAGATTACCGAGGCATTTTAGTGCCAAGGCGGGTCAAATGATAATTGCTTCTAATTGGCATCCCCACAAGCTCCTTAATTATTTATCTGCAGCTGTCACTCAAAGAGCAAAATTCTTCCTACCTTTGGAATACTGGTTTTCTTTCCACATCGTTATTCTCGTAAGCACAAGCCAAAGCGTGAAATCAGAAACAGCAAAGATATTTACAGGAAGCGTTTGCAAAGTATCTTTTAATTATTTTTAAAGCGTGTGTCGTCTTAAAAAAATGAGATCTGAAAAACAGAAGAAGCCTTGTGAAAGATGAAACCAGTTGAGATGGGGTGGGACTGAGGGAGACAGTTAATTCAGAAATAAGATCCAGAAGTGAGAAGGTGAGGTAATAAGAACCTGGTGTGTGCAACATTTCTAAAATGAAAGAGCAAATAACAGGAACCTGGAGAATTCGAGAACATAAAGCATAGTATCCACGAATTATGAAGAGAAACATGCACAAACTAGAAAGCATCATAAAAGTTATAAGTGATAATTGATTGAACTTTCAGTATAAAATACCTTTTCATTAGTAAACTCAAGATTGATTGCAGCCCCTATAGAGATTTAAGCTTAGCTTGAAGACGGGGGGATACTCACCTACAGTTTCGTTTTCAAACTAAAACATTTACCTAGTAGTTGATGTAATTTTAATTTCCCTGTCAGTGCTGTATTTAATTTGGAGCATTCTTTTGGAAGATTAGTATACAAAACATTACATTTTTTTTTCTGTTGTGAGATATGTCTAATTGAAGTTTGAGATAGTAAGATGACTTCTGTTTATTTTGAAGATTGCATCTAGGGACAACAGTTTGACAGGTGATGACCTTATATCTGTTTGATAGTGGTGCTAAACATGACTTTTATTTTAAAATTGCTTTGCTTTGTTTAGTGGGTCTGACGAGGAGGGTGCAGGAAGGATGCTGTTAGAGATTAGCTGATTTTCAAGAAACATTTTTGAATGGCACCAGGAAGTACTAATTTCTAACTTCTCATTCTGTCTGCCTGTAATTTTTTCACTGCAAGACTTAAAAGTTGAGGGATGTTTTTGCCAATGGATTTGGTGTCTGGATTACTTGTTTAAAAAAAAAAGGCATGGAAAGAGATATAAGTGCTGAAAACAAAGTATGTGAAGAGAAAAGTAAGAATTAAGAATAAAATAATATAGACCTGAGCTGTGCAGTCACTCAATATTTAATGGGTGCTATGAAGTACCCAGAAGAAACCATTGTTATGTTAATGCAGCACCTGATGTACTGTTCCTGTTTCACAGGCAAAGTACTAGCTCTGTGATTAGATCGAATTCCCCAACAACAACATCTCAGATTATGGCAAGAAAGAAAAGGAGAGGGGTATGTGATTTTTTTTTCTTTTTAGTTCATGTGATTCAGACTAATGTATAACAGTGGTGTTCTTCCATTAAGAGTAATTTTATCATTTGTGTATTCATAAATTTTTGTTGTTGTTTTGCTTTCTTTGGGATAGATAATAGAGAAAAGGCGTCGAGATCGGATAAATAACAGTTTATCAGAGTTGAGACGACTGGTGCCAACTGCTTTTGAGAAACAAGTAAGCAACCCTCACCCCTGACCACCCCACCAAAAGACTCAGAAAATCTGATTCTCTCATCTGGGAATGTGGGTTCTTGTTAAAGCTCATTAAAATAATGGTGTATGTGCCCTGATCTGGCACAGAGCAGCTATTTCAATAAAATGCTTTGTTGTGGCAAAACTATTAAAAACATAATCCATCATGAAGTTGAAAAACATTTCCATTCTTCAGCTTATTTTCCCTTAAGGGTAACAGTGTTCATGCTTTCTCTGTTCTTTCTATGAAGACCAGTAGTGGTTTTGTTCAAAACCCAGCTGTATGTCGTACTCTTTAAATACACACACACACACACACACACACACACACACACACACACACGCATATATCACAAAATTTCACTTTTTTGTAAACTGCTAAAAAAAAAGAAGCGCTTTTTATTTTAAAAATAACAAAAGTCCAGGAAGTAACATTTCTAGCTCTAGTTCCTGAATGGTAATACTAATAAAATTTATTTACCAAATCACTTGGTTTCATTTTTAATCCCTAGATTAATAGAGTGGTGTTCTATTTGGGGCATCTCTTTGGAAGTTTGATAAAAATAAAACTAGCCAACAATTCCCTCTTTCAGAATTCAAGTATTCCTTTACTAAAAAAAAAAAAAAAATTTTTTTTTTTTTTTTTTGGCATACTTAGAAAAGGAGGAAGCCAAATGTTTAAATCTTCCTTTCTTTTCTTGGAAAAGTTTTATATCTCTTGCCACAATGGCTAATGGCACAGATTTCTAAGAGCATCTTTCAAAGAATATGGCATCATACACTGTTGAAAATACTTTCAATTTAATTCAAATAGCATATAAGACAGCAGTTGTTTGTTTATGTCATTTTGTTGTTTACTTCATGAACTGCAAACATTATACAGCAAGCCCTACAAAAGCCCTTGGCAATTATCCAGAAACTGCAATTTTGTTATTACTTTCACTGAAACTCCTGTACATCTTGATGGAAAAAGTGAATATTGACAAAAGTGCAAGATGTAACAGGCTCTTGATTATACATTTGTGAGAGAAAAAAAAGATACCTATATGCTGAAACCGACTTTGGTAAGCTAAATGTAACGTGGAAATTGTAGTTTTGATTAGTAACATTTTCAATGACAATAGGCTGAAAATGAAAACATCAGTAATCACTGTTTTCACTTTGGGTACCGAAATGTCTGTAGTTATTTGGTGAGTATTTTTCCCATCAGTTTGTTAGATTTTTTTTTTCTTAAATGTCGACTTAAACCTTAAAAGCTAACCTCAGTTGTTTGGCAGTTAGTTACCATAAACACAGGCTTTCCCATTTGCCAGGCTTGGCTACCAACCCTGGCGAGCTGGCCCTGTTACGGTGTGATTAGAAGAGTGTTCTTTCTAGCGGTTTCAATGACTCTGGCACTCTCACCATGTACAGGGTGCTGATAATTTTCACAAAAAAGTAGAGCATAGGAACTTGAAGAAAACTTCAGTTTCCTTTTGAGAAAGACACATTGATTTAATTATTTAGTTTTTCCAGGAAATTAGAAGCTACCCAGAGTCCTCTGAGGCAGTTCAAGGTGGCACATTTGTATTTTGGTTGGTTTCTAGAGGTTGCCTTATTTTGAAAAGTAGAACGTATAAATATATTCCCAAGGCATTTTATTAAGAACTGTTCTAAAGGGTTCAAATAATCTTTAAGCATTTCTGATGCTTACTAGGTAGGAGTAAATTATGCTTTCTTGTTTATGAACTTGGAATTCACAGTGACACCTGCTGGTAATTTTTGGAAAAAAAAAAAACCAAAAAACCTTAAGTCTTCCCTTTTTTGATTTTGGTTCTCCTTACCAGGGGTGTATCTTAAAGGCTTACTAGGACTTTTTATTTTTGAAAAATCTAATTTTCTAAGATCCTATTTCCTTAACCTTCAGAGTTGGATTTCAGCTGATCTAGACTGTTGAATGTCCCCCAATATAGGGTAGAGATTGGATACAGGATTTGACATTTTTGCAGTGTAATAGTTTTAGTGGAGTGATCTTTGGAGTATAGTTTAATCATATGATTAAAAAATTATTTGTTATGCCTTTTAGTCTTTAAATGATAAATTGGCAAATATCTGTCATTAGGTATGACATGATAATTATTGTTTGCATGTAAAGCTTGCAAAGAATTCAGATTTTTCTATGAAAAAAAATTAAATTTAGACTTTTCTAGTGAGAAGAAAAATTGAAAATCCAGTGTAAAATGTTCCAAGTCAGTTTCCATAGGACTTATAAGACTTCATGATTTGTTTATGCAGGGATCTGCAAAGTTAGAGAAAGCCGAAATACTGCAAATGACAGTAGATCATTTAAAGATGCTTCAGGCAACTGGGGGTAAAGGTAAGTAGGTGACTTCATTTTTACCCCCTTTCCGTCTTTCTCTTTTCATTCCCCTCCCCTAAGATTATAGGAAAGTCATAGTTGAACAGTTCTTTAACAAGCTGAGATAGGAGGTCCCAGATTAAAGCTGTAGAAATCAATGCTAATGGCAGGATTGAACTCGTGGGAAAGAACTTCTGGAACAAAAGAAGCACTTGACCCTGGGCTTGTGTTTGCTTTCATAATACTGTGGGAGTAAAGCTTCATTCACAGCAGCCTGGTCAGAGATTTGTTTGGGACCTCAGAAGCACATGCTGGAATCTGTACAGAAAGACAAAACAAACACACAAACATCCAAACATAAACAGGAGGTTAAAGGCAATCTTTTTCTCTTCTTCTTTCCCTTCCCCCAGACTCCATTAGATCAAGACTGGGACTCAATACAGTACAACTATTTCAAAGGAATTGACTTAAGAATTATTTTCATTGTTTTCAGATTTTGGTTGGTCTTGGGTTTGGACCAGACAGAACATTTGAAGTGTAGGTAGTAATTCTCTGGACTGGAAACTACTAATGGAGCAGTCATTCCTGCAGAGAGCAAACAGGAATAGGTGCCCCTGGCCCAGTGCCCTGGAGAGATATCTTCTGTACTAGAATCATCCAGAGGTCAGGGATGGACCCTCATGTTATATTGAAAATAGACGAGATCCTGAAAGCTGTAATAATTTATTCACATTTTATTATCCTTCTTCTCACATGTTACTGAGACTTGATTTTGCCCTTTTGTATTGTTTTTAGCCTTCAAGCAAGCCTTTGCTATTCACCTTAACCAAGAGTGTTTTTGTTACTCAGTACATTTGACAACTGGGTTGGGAGAGGGTATCACCAGGGGCTAAGTGCTTCCCTCCATCCTGGAGGCTTCTCTGCTCAGCATTAGCTTTTTATCACATAGTATCACAGTTTGCCCTAGATCAGAGCAGAGGCAAAGCATTGGAGGGAAGTAGCTATTTACCAATTGGATAGAAGTACTTCAGTACTTAACTCCAGTATAGCCATACTGCTGAAGCCCTTTATTTATTTATTTTTTAATTTTTTTAAATATTTATTTATTTTTGAGAGAGAGACAGAATGTGAGTAGGTTACGGGCAGAGAGAGAGGGAGACACAGGAGCAGAAGCAGGCTCCAGGCTCTGAGCTGTCAGCACAGAGCCTGATGCGGGGCTCGAACTCACAAGCTGTGAGATCATGACCTGAGCCGAAGTCAGATGCTCAACCAACTGAGCCACCCAGGTGCCCCTGAAGCCCTTTAGAACATCAGCCCTGGGGGTGCCTGGATGACTCAGTTGGTTAAGTGTCCAACTCTTGGTTTTGGCTTGGGTCCTGATCTCACAGTACATGGGTTCAAGCCCCACATTGGGCTCCTCACTGATGGTGTGGAAGCTGCCTGGGATTCTCTCTCTCCCTCTCTTTCTGCCCCTCCCCTGTTTGTTCGTTCGTTCTCTCTCTCTCTCTCTCTCTCTCTTAAAATAAGTAAACTTAAAAAACAAAACATCAGCACTGGCCTTCACAATCTTTTAGGTGGGAAGTAAACACTTTAAAGAGAAGCCCACCTTCTCTAGAAACCATCCTGAATGGGTATACAATTGTGATTTCTAATCATTAAAATGTAACCCTCAGAATAGGATGTAAAAGTTCTTACATAATAGAGGAGAACTGGATGAAATCGTAGAAGCCAGTGATCCAGCCCAACTTGGCTGCTGCTTGACCTTTAACCCAAGGCAGAAGTGCTCTGCAGTACTGTGAGGCCTACACTAGCACTCTGATCTCTAAAGCACCTCCAGCCCCATGATTTTGTGTCTGCACCTGCTACCTCAGATGTAGAAGACTGGTTGAGTTAGTGATGGTGTAGGAACAGCTTTTTGATTGCTCTGCCTCCCTTGGTGTTGTTCACCATAAGGCCAAGAATTCTTATCAGGGTTTCAAATATTTGGCATGAGCTATACTTCTAAAGAGTAATATTATTCTTATGCCTTATTATAAAAACTAAGTTCCATTCTTGGTTGCTATTCTTGGCTACCTGAACAGTCCTAAAATTCATCCCAGAATAGTTTATGAACAGACATTTCCAAGCAAGCTCCACACAAGTCGCCTGACTGCCAAGTCATTAGAGAGGTCATCCCATAGGAGAAAATGTGGGCCTTAAACAGGAGGGGCGGGCAATGTGATCTCACATCATCAAAGACTCACAACTGCTGTAGGGGCCTCCCAGTGGTGAAGGGCATAGACTCTGCAGTTGGGTTGCCTGGTTTCAAATCCTTGATCTGCCATATATTAGCTCTGTGACCCTAGGTAAACTACTCACCCTCGCTAAGCCCGTTTTCTCATCTGCAAAATGACAGCCATAGTGTCTACCTCACAAGGTTGTTGTGAGTTTATTCACTTAAAGCCGCATAACAGTGATGGCATGAAAGAAGTGGTGTGGAATGGCCCCGTGTGCTTTTATTATTGGCCCAATATCTATTCCCAGGAGACAGCTGTTGGTCGCCATTTCCCTCTGCATTCAGCAACATAATAGGAATTACACAATTGATACTCCTTAATATGCAACAGAGAACTCAGCCACGTATAACAACATACAGCTGGCAAACCACAACTTTCGATCACCTTGTACCCGCTCATGAAAATTCTTGGAAGCTCCTGGGGCTCCAATTATGTTGTTCCATTCTTTATAGTCTATCTTGGTATTGAGGTAGCTTCTAGAGAGAATTTAGAGAGGAACCTAAATTTCTAGATCCCTCTGCATTTCTGGACTCTGACTTCTGTTGATTTCCTTCCTCCTTATAACCTCATGAAAATTAGAAGCCTGCAATGCCCTGCAATGAACCTTGAGGGTCCTCATGTGAAATCTGTCCACGGAGGTGTCGTCTTCAGGAAGAGCTTTCCCTCTTAATCCCAGGGACTTTGTTGCTAACTAAGCTGAAGTTCTGGGATGCTAACTATTTTTGTTGCTGATCTCCCACATTTCATGATATTCTCTTATATCTGCTTTGTGCTGTTATTTTTACTGTTTTCATGGTGTATTTTTTGCCTCAGATGTGTTTTTGGGACTTCCAAATTTCTGTTGATATTCTAACTTTATTTAGGACTGTGAATATTGTGAATACTATTTTCCAAATGCTTTGATTACAGAATAAGATGGTTTAATTTTTAGTGGATGATAAATGAAACAGGTAATACTTTGATCTACAGAAACATGAAAAAGATAATATAAATGCCTTTGACAAAAATAACTTTGTGGTATTTCTCATTTAGATATACCCATATCCCAAAACTGAGTAAATTTTTAATTTGAAAATAGCTAAAAAAAAAAAAAAGTTACAAATGAGAAAGAATCTGAAAAAAGATGCATTGTACATATTAGAGGTCACCCATTCAAAGTGGTGACATTTCCCCAATTGTCTGATTATTATTCTATCCTAAATTGGCACTATTAATAAAAATACTTTATTATTTTCTGTCCAGTGTATTATCAGTGGATAAAAAGGGATTCTTCTAAATGTGACCCAGCTCCAGCCATTTTTACGGTAGTGACCTTCGATGTGGGCTGTGCATGCATACACACTGAAAAATTAATGCACATCTTTTTCCTGGGTAGATGCCAGGAAAATGTAAGCTAACCACTGAAGGAAATATATATTTAAATTTAAGAAAAGCAAAGAGGTATAGTAATCTCATATCAGTAAAGCAGCCTGATATTGCATGATAGAAAAGTAAGATCTTCAAATTAGTAACCAAGATTTTTAAAAAGTCATTTTGTTTTCATCAAATCTTTTTGTTACAAACTAACGACAAGATGTTTTCACTTTGAAAAAAAAAACACTGAGTCAAAAAGCATTGTTGAGTTTATTAAGAGATTCTAGCATATTTTTAAAGAAGGTCTTCAAGCTGCTAAGATACATTTCATATCTCTGTGACAAATGCCAAGAGTGAGGATGTTTCAGATAAACCCTTTAATCTCCACCTCATGTGACAGAGACAAAGAGACTGAAACTCGGTACTTCCGTGCAAAAGTTTACGAGGGAATTTCACTATCCCACCGTACAAAAGGAGAGACATCCCCTCCTGGTTTTTTATGGAAGTGTTTGAAACACGGATGTTCTTAATTTTTTTTCCCCACCGTAGTATTTGGTTGCAAGAACAACTGTAGTATATAGCGTTGCCAGCCTTGTCACACATGTGAATTGCAAAGTGTAATTTCTTCTGCAGAAGTTACAACCATAAATAACTGGCAACATTTTCAGAAAGGGTCGTCATCCCCCTTGAATCTTCTGCAGCGCCCAGAGGAGCACAGTTGGTGTTTACTCACAGTAATTGTGCCATTTTCTCTCACTCTCTGCCCTGGCCCCCACTTCACTCAAACCCCCTTCTAGGCTACTTTGACGCACATGCTCTTGCCATGGACTTCATGAGCATTGGATTCCGGGAGTGCTTAACGGAGGTGGCCAGGTATCTGAGCTCCGTGGAGGGCCTGGACTCCTCGGATCCCCTGCGGGTACGACTGGTCTCTCATCTCAGCACGTGCGCCTCGCAGCGGGAGGCTGCGGCCATGACGTCCTCACTGGCCCACCACCATCACCCCCTGCACCCGCACCACTGGGCGGCGGCCTTCCACCATCTCCCCGCTGCCCTGCTCCAACCCAACGGACTCCACGCCTCCGAGTCAACGCCTTGTCGCCTCTCCACGGCTTCAGAAGTGCCTCCTGCCCACGGCTCCGCCCTGCTCACGGCCACATTTGCCCATGCCGATTCTGCCCTTCGGATGCCGTCAACGGGCAGCGTTGCCCCCTGCGTGCCACCTCTGTCCACCTCTCTCTTGTCCCTCTCGGCCACTGTCCACGCGGCCGCTGCAGCAGCCACCGCAGCGGCGCACAGCTTCCCTCTGTCCTTCGCGGGGGCCTTCCCCATGCTCCCCCCGAACGCAGCTGCAGCAGTGGCAGCCGCCACCGCCATCAGCCCGCCCCTAACGGTGTCAGCCACCTCCAGCCCTCAGCAGACAAGCGGCGGAACAAACAGTAAACCTTACCGACCCTGGGGGACAGAAGTGGGAGCTTTTTAAGTTTGCATTGAACTTTTTGCAATAGTAACTGAATGTCCTTCATTTCAGAGTCAGCTTAAACCTCTGCACCCTGAAAGTAGCCATACAGATGTCTACAGATCCACAAAGGAACAATAAAGCTATTTGAGACACAAACCTCACAAGTGGAAATGTGGTATTATCTTTTCTCTCTTGTTTTGTTTAAGGCAGCTTGGTAACTGACATCAGCAACTTTTGAAAACTTCACACTTGTTTTCATTTAGAAGTTTCCTGGGAAATATATGGACTGTACCATCCAGGAGTGCATCAGTATGTCTGAACTGGGGAAGAAAAAAAAAAGCCCTGACTGGATTCTCTTGAAACTAGATGGAAAAAAAATATTTGTGTTTCATAAGTGCCTGAGCTAGTAAAGTTTTCTTGTGAACAGATTAACATTGCACAAGTAAAGAAGATCATAGAGGTTAGGTTAAGACAGGAAAGGGACAGAAGTCTTGTATTAGGCTGCAGACGTTTTAATAAAATGCCAGCGAAGAGTACTCTGTTGAAACCAAGAGGTTTTTGTTGGCCAAAAGGATTGCTGAAAATAATTTTCAAGTTGAAAGACCTAGTTTTATCTTAGTTTTCTTTCTTTGTACAGACTTGCCTGCCAAATGGTGACATTTAGCAATGCATTGGTATAAGCAATTATTCCATCAGTGCTCAGATTAACAGCCATTCCTGCCCTGCCTGCAAGCCCCCAGGCACTTTTTTTTTCCATGGCTCAAAATTTGGTGCTTCTTTATGTAAAACCATACGTAGAGTGCACCTAGAAGCACTTGCCTACCATGTGCCCCCCAGAAGCTATTTGATTCATGCCAACTTGAAAACTCTCCAGTGTGTAAAAGTTTAGGTTAATTTATTGTTTCATTTGGACTGTTTTTACGTATTTATCCTCTTCATTTTGTCCTGATAATGTGTAATACCTATTCTTGTCGCCCTTTGGGAAAAGCTGCATTTCTGGAGGTGATGAGACAGGGAGAGAACATTGGGAAGAGAAAAGCCACGATTTTTAAATGCTCTTTGTCAAGCTCATGATTGCATTTGATCCCAAATCAAGATGAATGTATGCAGTGGGATGTACATAAATTATTTTTTGTTCATGCCTAGACTAGTGCTGCATAACGGTGTTTTTTTTTTATTTTTAATGACAAAATCTCTTAATACATTGAAATTGAGCACGTGAGATTTTATGTTTGAAAGGTAAAGACACAGCATGTATTATTACGCACTTCATTTCTCTGCTGTGTGGAGAAAGCAATAAACATGAGAATGTTAAACATTATACAAAATTATACTTTTAAATATTTGTTTTAAAATTATTGTACCTAGTCTTTTTTGCATTACTTTGTAACCTTTTTCTATGCAAAAGTCTAAATATCACTAATTAAATGAAGTCCTTTTTTTGACTATTTCTATGTGGATGAGTTGCTTTGCAGAATGGAAAGTTGACATGAATTTCAAGCAAGGCCTTCCTTCACTAACAATTTAAGCCGTGGCTTTTCTTTTTCTCTTTCAGAGTCATTTAATATAATTCACAGCTTGCCTGAAAATAGTGTTTATCTGAGCTTGTATATCAATTCAGCATAGGCGGGTTTGACATTATTTGGAGACAGGAAGTGATCAGTTTCCTCTGCCTTTTATTCTTAACCGTGGTTCTTAGAAAAGTGCAAATACAAGAGCTCCAAATAATAGTACATTGAACCTGGGATAATAAGCCAGAATGTGTCATACATCTTGTAACTCAAAAACATTTGTAGAGGGTTTTTAAAACATCATCTGTATATGTGATAAGCATATACATGCTTCCTGATGAGAAATCCTCTGTACCTACCTCAATGAAACTTTCTTTTGATGCTATAGAAATTGTACACATATCTCTCCTTCTTCAATAAAGCCTAGAAGAGATTATTTTAGTTCCTGAAGCTATTGGGCCAAACGTAAGAAAAGAATTTTTTAAAAAAGAATGTTTTTATTCATGTCAGTTATGTTATTAAGGGGAAAAGTGTGAGGTTTCTTACATTATTTTAGTTTTGAAAAATTAAGTATATAGTTTTTCTAATTTCTGTCTGTATGTGGGTAAAATATGAGCAAAACCAGATCACTTTGTTCCTCCTGTCTATAAGTTCTGTGATCATTGCATCTTCTATTAGCTCTGATGGAGTTAAGTAACAAATAAGGAAATGGATTTAGTAGTATTTGAAGTTTGCTTTTGAGTCATGATTTGTGGACAATAGGCATAGAAGTAATTCTTATTTTAAGATCTAGCAGCTGATTCTGTGCCTGTTGTAATGTCAGCATTCAAAGAATTTCTTTTCCTTTTTTGGAATGTAAACCATTTTAGAGATCAGGAATTTTTATTTTTAATTTGGATTAAATAGTTTCAGATAAATCCACTTTCTTCCTCCTTTCCTCCCTTTCTCGTCGTTTTTGGTTTTTCCTTACCTTTTTTTCCTTCCCTGTTACATATGGGCTGTTATTTTTCCAATTAATTGATTAAAATATTTGCAAAACAACTTGCGACATAGTTGCTAAGGGGTGTCATAGTTCCTAAAGGTGATTGTTGTCTATAATTTTGGTCATTTGAAGTTAATTGGTCCTTGATAAATGTTTCACATCATTAGCTATTGACATCACATTTTGCTGTGTTAAAAAACAAAATTCAACTAAGTACATTAAAGATCAAATTGGCTTTATTTAACCACTCATGAAATGGGCAGAATCCCATCTAGCAAATAGAAAGGAGCTCCAAGGTGTACAAAATGAAAGGCTTTTATAGGCAGAAGGGGGCTGCAAAAGGAAGTTTCTAACAAAAAGTGAATTGTTTCAGGCAAGGTCACCTTCCTTTGGGGAAAGGGTGGGGGTCTGTCATGCAGATGGCCTCACTGGTACTGATTGGTTAATTCCAGATTGACTGGTTAAAGGTCACTGCAGTTTGGTTAGATATTAAGTCTTGGTTGCCTATGTGGGTCTCGCACAAGTGACTCCATTTTGAGCCTGATGTTTCTTTTTAACAACTGTGTCCCATCTCTGATACAATGTTCTGTGAAAGTGGTGTTCTGCCTTTAAGTGTGGTAGCTTTCATGTTTGCTCACAAAACAGAAAAAATAATAATAATAATTTTTATGGCCCAGGAGGAAAATAACTTTTAAAGTTTGATTTATTAGTGGCTTTTAATTATGTAAAAGTTAATCCCAAAATTAATTCAAGGGATTTTTCATAGGATAAAAGGAAAATGGTGACATTATTAGAAATTTGGTTTTCCCCAAATGTTAAAAGCTGTATGTATGCCCAATGTCAGAAAAGATTAAAGAAAACAATTTAAGTGATACAAACTTTATTTAACACTTCATGAGGCAGTCTCCTTTTGGAGAACTGCAAAATGGGGCAAAAGGAAGATTTTATAGGATAAAGAATAAAGAACAGGGAAGAGAAAAATGGAAAATATCTGATTGGCAGTGTTACATAATCAACCTTGTTTAGGGTGAGAAGGCCCAGAGTTGGCTTGGCATTGGGGGATTGACTATCTGGATATACCACATCTCTAGTCAAGTGGAACATTTATAGGGACTCAAAAGTTATCTGAAGGCCCATCTGCTCATGTAGCACTTGGGTAGGAGTAGCTCCATTTTGGGCCTAGAAATATAGTTCAACAGTAATTAAAACACACTTTTCCCATCAGTGAGCCAGAAGGTATTTATTGAATAACTACTGTGTACCAAGCACTGTCTGTACATGTTAAGTTTCGAATGACATGTGGTAGCACATGCTAATGTGATTCTATAGCCTGACAATTATAGGTGTGACTGTCACTCTAGCTATTCACAAGGACCCTCAAAGTAAGGAAGTGCCATGAGAGTGAGACAAGAGGTTTCTGAGAACTAGTTGGAGAGGCTTTTTGGTCTCATTGGGATATTGTACTATTACAAACATGATAATTCATAATTTGAATAAATCTGAGGGACTTTTAAAGTAATGTTCAAACATTATGACAGGCAGGGATACTCACCACTATACTAATGAGGAGGACGTTTTGTTCAAACATTTAAAAAGGCCAAATGTTAACTAGAATGATGGCTCTAATGACCCACATGTACATATGATATGTATCATAAATCTTAAGTCTTTTGGGTTATCTTCTTTTTGTAATCAACTTGTTCCTTTTCCAATCATTACATCATTAGGTCACATCACAAAGCAATTTCCATAAGTAAGACCATCAATTGCAAGAGACAGTGTTGGTTTAAGATCAGGTGTTTTTTTGTTTGTTTGTTTTGTTTTGTTTTCTTAAGTTTACTTATTTTGAGAGCAAAAAAGTAGGAGTGGGACAGAGGCAGAGAGAGAGGGAGGGAGAGAATCCTAAGCAGGCTCTGTGCTAAAACTGAGATCAGGGCTCAATCTCACTAACCGTGAGATCATGGCCTGAGCCAAAATGAAGAGTCAGATGCTTACCCAACCAAGGCACCCCTAAGATCAGTTTTTAAGGAAAAGAATCACCACAACAGAACTTTATCCATTGATCATAAGACCTCCCAATTTCTAGAGTGTTAAAAAGAAAAAAAAAAAAAGGTACATCTTGGGTTTGAGGCAATACTACAGTATAATAGTGTACTTAAGTACAAGTTTAAAAATCCATTGCTAGAGATGTACAGAGATTAAAATGTGGCTAAGTAGTTTACTTTAAAAATACCCCAGAGTGCCTGAGTGACTCAGTCAGTTGAGCATCCAACTCTTGATTTCGGCTCAGGTCATTATCCAAGGGTCATGGAATTGAGCCCCAAGTCTGGCTCCAAGCTGAGCCTGAAGCCTGCTTAAGATTCTCTCTCTCCCTCTGTGCCTCCTCCCTGCTCACACTCTCTCTCTAGAATCAGAACAAAACAAACCGCATCAGGATAGGGTCCTAGTCAAATTAAGAATCTGGATTAATTTTGTAAGCTTTATGATCTAAAGATAGATGTATTTTTAGCTTTTCATGTTTTTATTGCCCAGTGGGACTATTCCCAGTTCTGGTTTTACTGAAGAATGGAGTTTGACTTCCCCTTGTAATTCTTTTAAGATCTAAGCAATAACTGAGGTTGTGAATATTTCAGCAACTAAAACAAAATGCTACAGCAAATATGACATCATAAACTGTGACTATAGCTCATATTCTTTGGAAGGATAAGTCTTTGAACTCAGATGGGAGAATTTAAAAAGAAAAAAAGCCCCTTAGCTTGCATACACAATCTTGTATGAGGGACCAAATGCATACGAGAAATGGCTCTCTAGGTACCAGGTGGTACTTTCTCCCTCTCTTTTGAAAGGAACAGACAGGAATGGAGTTGGTCAGGGAATTGGGTCCTCTGCTGTAACTGACAGAACCAGGCCAACCTAAGTCACAGATCTAACAAAGACAAAACTCGAATACTCACTGCAAATGTTCTTCATTGTTCTCTGTGCTAAGCTCTATGCTAAGTGTGTGAAATCTGTTGTCTCAGTGAAGCCTCATAACTGTCCTATAGAGCACATATATTATTATCTTTGCTTTACATATTAGGATTTGAAAAATAAGTGGTTGATTGCCCAAGGTTGCAACTAGTAGTTTAAGCTATGACTCAACCCAGGCTTGTCTGATTCTTCAGCCCATACCTTTGACCTCTGGGCTATGGCTTTTGACACTGCTTTTTTGGCCTCAGACTAACCAAGAATATTTCAACCTTCCTGGGATCATTTTGGATTACTGATAAGAGTAAATCTGTCTATAGTATTAGCATAAAAGCCTCTACCATCTTATGCTTTTTTTTTCTTTCTTTTTAATGTTTGTTTATTTTGAGAGAGGGAGAGAGAGGACATGTGCATGCCAGTGAGTGAGGAGTGGGGGAGGGGCAGAACGAGAGGGAGAGAGAGAATCTCAAGCAGGCTCTGCATTGTCAGGGCACAGCTGGACAGGGGACTTGATCTCACCACGGTGAGATTATGGCCTGAGTCGAAATCAAGAGTCAGACAATTAACCGACTAAGCCACCCATGCACCCCTATCTTACCCTTTTAATATATGAAAGAATTAAAGAATAACCCCACTTTATTCCATTGTACAACATAAAAGGAAATAATTTTGGCAGTTTCCTAGTTTTAACTTTCAACTTTCAAGCAGGTCATACCTACCTTACCTTGATTGGTGACCTTAACCCTCAGTAATGTCTACCAAAGAATATCCTATAATCTCATTCAAGGTGATGGCAAAGGTGAAGTAAAATGGTGAAGTATTAAGACAAGGTATCTGGGGTCACCTGGCTAGCTCAGTTGGAAGAGCATGCTACTCTTGATCTTGGGGTTGTGAGTTCGAGCCCCACATTGAGGACAGAGATTACTTAAATAAAAATAAATAAACTTAAAAAAAAAAGATATCTGAGAAAATTGAGTTTGAAAAGAAACGTTATACCTCAGTCTTCTACTGGATGTAAAAGATAGGTTTTTGGTGAGGGGGAGAATGCTGGATCATTCTGAATCCTTATGCATTCCAGGTCATCATGTCATTAAACAACATTCTTCCTTTGGCCTAGAAAGACTTGCCCAGTAACCCATCCACTGTAACTGTAAATTATTAACAGGAAGGGATTTTGAACTAGCCTAAACCTTTTGGCCTACAGTTAAGCATGTTTTCCATAACAGTTAAGAGTTTATATGGGTACAGTTTTTAAAAAATCTTATAACTAGAGACATTTTTATATGCCTCTAAGTTCTTAGTCTTCTGGGAATTGAATATTCTGTTTCCTTGACCTCAGTTGTCATTCTGTTAAGTCTGTGGGAATGAAGAGATTCATGCATATGAAATGGATATGCATGTAATAGAATGCCTTGTAAGCTTTTTTTTTCTTTTTTTAAGGAACAAAATGAGGTTGAGTATCTTTGGCAAGTTAACTCTAAAGTTTCTTACATTAAGTGTGCATTGTAGTTTTGTGTTTT